CATTGTCGGCACTCTAAAGATATTTTTCAAAACGATTTTAACCCTTGTGTTTCTCATGTTAAATATATTTAGTCCAAGTGATGTAAACAATGTTTAGCAATAACCCTGGAAGAATATACTTAAGATACAGGTTAATGTTCACTGCGTCAAAATACAGAAAATGTTGCCCTTCGGTGGCTCAAAGGTAAATGTAAGAGCTTATAAATCTAAAACTTGGTGAGCAGAGCACAAACTGTTTGTTTTTTATGTTAAGCACAAAACTACACGATAGACTATCCGTGCTGTGCCAACTACGAGTATCAAAACCCGGATTTTATCGCTATAAGCCTTCAGACTAACCGCTGAGAAACTGGGGAGCCAAACCATGAATAATTTGTTGTGGAGCTTTGCGCTTAACAACAAGAAACACACCGAAAATGTTCGAGGGACCTTATCTGCTTACATATGAAAAAAGCGCAGTTTTTAAGCTAAGCTGTTAGGTAAAAAGGGTTTTAAGAAACTTAATTTAGAATTGGTATTTATTCATTTCAGCGCGAATTCTTTTGAGAGTGAAAATTAAAAAAACATAAAGGAACTAAAAATATTAAATCTCATCCTTAGATCAAATTACTTCCACTTCTAGCCTTTCTAATAACATTAAAATTACCATGAAAAAGCTCAAATTACTTCTAAGGTAAGGTACAGATAAATTAGTTGTCCTGTTTATTTTCAACTTAGAAAGAGCAAAAAAGATTTTAAATGTTAAACTTCATCTTATAGACCTATTTTGTAGATCAGTTACAATCACACAGGAATATGAGAAGATGAAACTATTATGACGACGTTCACGTATATATTGGTAACCGTAAATAGCAAGTTTAATGTTTGGTCTCCTACCTACAGAGTAGATCGTGATAGATTTATACTTGCTGAAAACGAAACAATTTTGCTACGCCATGTAAGATAAGACTATGGTTTGAGCTAAGTGTAGATCAAGCTTATTTCTGAAAATAAACATGACGACAAAGATCGTGATTTCCAGACAGAATTTGACATATAAAAAAATATACAAGTGTAACCTGAAATGGGGATTATTAAATTTTTTGAAATTCCCCAGAACATTTCTGTTTCCTACTAGACAGTTGACAGAGTAGTAAAAAGTTTTGTTTCCTACTAGACAGTTGACAGAGTAGTAAGAAGGAAACTTAATAGAACCAACTTTCGATTGTGGAAAGAAAATACAAGCTAAGTTACCCAGAAAGAAATGAAAACTAATCCCAATGGAATTTCGGGAGAGTTCCTCTTTAGAAATTATTTTATAGGTTATATAAAATATAGTATTTTTGTTTTTTCAGGAATGCAAGTGTGACATTATGAATTGAGAAAAAAGAATTTCGTACATACACAGCGTGGTCACAAGTAAATAAACACCACCTTTTCAGAAAAAAATGAAAATTTTCAGTCATATTCACATGAATTGATATATTTATAATTTAATTAATATCTAGTAGATCTTCCTTTCGCTTCGTGGAGTTCGTTGATCCTTTGGGGCATCGTGAGAATCATCTCGTCAATTTTAGATTGTGGGATTTTCGCCCACTCTTGCTTCAAAACTTGGAATAGATCGCTCTTCGAAGTTGTTTTTTTTGTTGTTGTTGTTTCTTGACTTGCCGGTCGAGTATGGCCCAGAAGTTTTCGATTGGGTTCATGTCAGGAGATTGGCTCGGCCAGGGAAACTTCTGGATACCATTTTTTTCCCACCACTTTTGGGTGTTTCTAGCAGTGTGACACGGTGCTCCATCTTCCT